GAGGGTTCACTGTAATCAAGTAGAACATCTTTCCGTGGTTTATTAACCATTTCTTAAGTAAATTTCTTTTTTGGGTTGTTGATGGATTTTTTTGGTTGTTGTTATTGTTGTGGGTTGGTAATCTTTTTTTCTAATTATTTGTGGGATCTTAGAATGTTATCTTCTTATTTTGTTTATAGTGTTTTATAGGTGTTTACATTTTTAAGGGGTTAAATCTGTTTTTTCCCTGTCTACTACTTTGGGGTTACTATATTTCAAGCTTTTAAAACTATCTTTTATTTGACTATTTTATTTGTAACTTTTCTTTGAAATTTAATCTTTAGCAATAATTTTTGTGTGTGCTATGAAATATTTTTTTTCTTGAGTAGTCATTTGTTATATTAACTATTTTAGTTTTATCTTGATTTGGAAGTTACAAAACCTATTAATTTTTATAAACATGGAGTCTGTTTTGTTTTCTGAGGTTTATTCCATACTTTTTCACTCTATTTGATTTAAATTATCTTTCAGTATATATATATATATATTTGGATAAATTCCTTCCCTGACAACAATACTTCAAAATATGTTGGATATTCTTGCACATTAGTTGGATATTCTTGCACATCAAGATATGTTGGATATTCTTGCACAAAATTATTATTACTTATTGTGGATATACTATTAATCCTTGGTATATTTTGGAACACAGAGATGATGATGATGATGATGATGATGATGATGATGATGATGATGATTATGCACAACAATGCCCAATACTGACTGCACCTTAAATGAAACATTTCATATTGAACATCTCTTACTTCTTACAAGAGCACTCTGAGTTAGTTGTTTTAATATTCGTTTTGCAGTGGTAGAACTCTTGTCAAAATCACTTTTCAAATGTTACCCTCACTTCTCTCAGTATTGCTAACTTTATCCTTTTCCTAACTAATTGGCTTATGGCTAAGCAGACATATTCGATATTTCAGGAATCATTGACCTTGAAGGATGTGATTGTTGACTTTACCCAGGAAGAATGGAAACACCTGGACCCTGTGCAGAGGAGTCTTTTCAGAGATGTGACTCTAGAGAATTACACACACCTGGTCTCTATAGGTAGGGATGACTGCTAAGATAATATTTGGTGGTAGGCTGTAATTCTCTTTTGCTTAGGCAGGTTTTGCTTTGGGGTTTAGGAACCAGAGATTCCTAGTTTCAAAAAATTTGAAAAGGTTTCTGTTCCAAGTAGAAGAACAAGTAAATTACTTTTCTGGCCTCGGACCAGCTCTCAGGGAATTTGTAACAATTAAGCTTAATAAGTTATCCACTCTACTTTAAAGACAAAGTGGTAAGAATTTTGATACTATATTTTTCCCTTATTGCAGATAAATATTTTTTTCTTTTCCTTTATATGAGCAGGACTTCAAGTTTCCAAACCTGATGTGATTTCCCATTTAGAACAAGGGACAGAGCCATGGCTGGTGGGAGGAGTAGGTACTTTTGAAGGTAAGTCGTGGAATCCCAGCAAAATGACTGTCTTAAGCTCTGACTGCCAGCATGATAAGAGAAGATTTTATATCTGAAATACTGATGTGCCTGCTTCTCTTTTAAAGTGTCTCCTGGTGAGAACTTGGAAATAATTTGTTCTGGACTCTGCTATGCTTTCTCCTACCACAGCTTGTCTTCATACATATTCTGTTTTTATATTCTTTTCAGAGGAGGTGTTCTTCCTGTCTTTTCCTAAAGCCTATCCCTCAACTTGTATTTCATCTCTTTGCATTTCCTTTGGGATCTTGATCTCATATCTGTAACCTCACTTTGAGCTTTCAGTTTTCTCTTTTGGATCTACAGGATTCACACGAAGTTCCCTTAGTGGCTTCAAAGCAGAAATAGCTAATTTAGGTCTCCGGATTGCTTTACTCAACACAGTTATTCCTTATGACCACAACTTGATTTCTCTTCCTTCTCAATTAAACTCAGGAAAAGTGAGTTGCATTCCAGTAGCCTTCATTTCTCTATTACCTTGTTAATGTCGATGTGTAGATTCTGAGCCTGTCATCTTATCAGACTACCCTGGAAAGTTAAGAATAACTTTCTTCCAAACTGTAAGTCGCCAAACTGTGCAGAAAGACCTCTTTAAAGATGTGACCCTGGAAAGTTGCTGTCGAGGGGATATCTATTAAGAGTTTGTGGGAAAAATCTGTTGCCTTAGCGTTTGTTCTGATTCATAACAACCCTATAGGACAGAGTAGAATTGCCCCATAGCATTTCTTAGATATAAAATCATTACAAAAAGCAGAATGCCACATCTTTCTCCGGGATAGAGACTAAAGGGTTCAAATTGCCAACCTTTCTGTTATTAGCTGTGCATTTGCCAGTGAGTCACCAAAACCTCCCAAACCCACGACTATCAGTTGATTCTGACCCCTAGCAACTCTATTTAGGGTTCCCAAGATGGTAAGTCTTTGAGGAGTTGATAACCTTGTCCTTCCCCTTTGGAGCAGCTGGTGAGTTTGACCCACACTAGGGCACCGAAGACTGGGAGTGGGAGAACTTTTTAATGAAGATAAGAGGTGGGGGGGATAAAATTTGCAAAATACTGAATTTGAAATAAGCATTACAAATTTCAAGAGATTGGCACAGACTGTAACATATTTCTCTCTCTTTCATCCTTTCTCACCATGATTTTAAATTCATTCTTTATCTGACTATATCTTTAAATTTGTTCTAGAAAATGGTTTCATGGAGCTGCTTTTTAAAATACAAGCTTATTGACTGGTGCTTACAGTCTCTTTTGGGAAAATCACATTGTAAAGTTGTATTACAAATGAAAAATTAATTTTAGAAATCCTTACATGTCAAGATAGAAAATCATTTTAAAACATCTAAATGTCTACAGAGAAAATCCAGGTTTAAGCAATAGACACCCCAGGGAATACCAAAAATAGGCTTTGGGACCAGGGCGTGGCACCCCATTAGACTCAACTGAAAAAGATTCATAAAGGTCAACAAACAGAATCTATAGTCTTTTCATTTTTTTTTGGTCATTGGGTTTTTTTTTTCTGTTTGTTTGTTTTCTTTTGTTGTTTTGCTCTGTCTTGCTTTTGTGCTTATTATTGTCTCTGCATGTCTATCTAGATAAGATAGGTGGGATAAACAATCCAGAGGAGCAAACAATGGGACCGATGCTTTCCGGGGGACATGGGAGAGGGGAGGCAGGGGAAAAGAAGAGGGGTGTCAACAAACAAAAGGACAAGGGAACAACAAATTATATAAAATTAATGGTGAGGAGGGCATAGGCTGTCTGGTGGGGCTTGATTAAGGGCAATGTAACCCAGAGGAATTACTGAAACCCAAATGAAGGCTGAACATGATAGTGGGACAAGAGGAAAGTAAAAGGAAATAGAGGAAAGAACTAGGAGGCAAAGGGCATTTATAGAGGTCTAAATATAGGCATATATATTTGTAAATAAGACAGGGAAATAGATCTATGTACATATATTTATATGTTAAGTATTAAGGTAGCAGACGGACATTGGGCTTCTACTCAAGTACTCCTTCAATGCAAGAACACTCTGTTCTAATAACCTGGTATTCTGTGATGCTCACCTTCCTGAGATCACTGAAGACAAAATGGGTGCATAGGCAAATGTGGTGAGGAAAGCTGATGGTGCCTGCCTATCAAAAGATACAGTGTCTGAGGTCTTAAAAGCTTGAAGATAAGCAAGCGGCCATCTAGCTGAGAAGCAACAAAGCCCACATGGAAGAAGCACACCAGCTTGTGTGATCGTGAGACCAGCCTGTGATCATGAGATGTCAGTGGTATCAGGTATCAGGCATCAAAGACCCAGAACAAAAAATCATATCAATGTGAATGAGGGGGAGTGCGGAGTTGAGACCCAAATCCCATCAGTAGACAACTGGACATCGCCTTACAGAAGGATCACAAGGAAGAGACGAGCCAGTCAGGGTGCAGTATGCCACTGATGAAACATACAACTTTCTATTAGTTTTTTAATGCTTCCTCTCCCCATACCCCCCACACTGTCATGACCCTAATTTTACAAATCTGGCTAGACCAGAGCTTGTGCATGGGTACAGATAGAGCTTGAAACACAGGGAATCCAGGACAGATAAACCCGTCAGGATCAATAATGAGAGTAGTTATACCAGGAGAGTAAGGGGAGGCGGGGGGGAAGGGGGCAACCAATCACAATGATAACCTCCTCCCAGGGGAATGGACAGTATAAAAATGGGTGAAGGGAAACAGGTTGGTGTAAGACTTGAAAAAAAAAAGTAGAAATTATCAAGGGTTCATGAGGGAGGAAGGGTGAAGGAGGGGGGGTAAATGAACTGATATCTGGCTCAAGTAGAAAGAAAATGTTTTGAAAATTATTATGGTAACATATGTACAAATGTGCTTGATACAATGGATGTATGTATGGATCATTATAAGAGCTGTAAGAGCCCCCAATAAAATGATTTTTGGAAAAAGAAAAAAATGAGCTGTTAATAAGGGCTCAAGTAGAAAGCAAATGTTTTGAGAATGATGATGGCAACAAATGTAACAAATGTGCTTGACACAATGGATGTATGTATGGATTGTGATAAGAATTATAGCAGCCCCAATAAAATGATAAAAAAGAGGGGAAAACCCAAAATAAATAAATGAAAAATAAGAAAACCCAGGTTTTTCAAAGAAGAATTTTAGCATTTATCAAAAAGATATTTTAGGTTAAAATATTGAATATCCTAGGTTGAATAGATAATTTAGATATATTGGGATGATATATCAAAATTCCAGTAAGTGGATATAAGCAAAACACTTGTAGTACTTAACTCTATTCTTTGTTTCTATTATTATTTTGTTCGATTAGTAAACATTATGATGGTTGTCTCAGGAAGCCAGTCCTTAGTTCTGTCCTCCAGCATTCAGAACAGATTTAGCTAGTGAATTGTCTGTTAATTGTGTCTCTAAAAAATGGTTTACAGTTTTCTAGGTATCTGTGTGGGTAATGTTTTATTGTTCTTTATTATTGTTGTTTCTAGACCAGTGTTTTTCACAGTAAGCTGTACTGCCCACTGTGGGACACATGAAAGATCCAGGGGAATTCAGAAGCAGATACCTATACATTGTACTATGTACTATAGTATAAAAGTTTTTAATTGCCAAGGGGTGCTGAGTAATTATTTTTTTTTCTATAAAGGTCAGGTCAGGGATAGGCGAAATAAATTTGGGAGCTAATACTCTATATTGTCATGGTGACATGGTCCCTGCAGATCATACTTTGAAAGCCCTGATAAATGTTTTGTTCCATGGGTCTCCTTGTTCTCCTACAGCCTGGTCACTAATACCCTGGCTTACTTCTCCATACACAGGATTTTCTGAATACTGTGGTTCATGCCTGTAGACTTTACATCGCATAAGGTAGAATTGTTTTGTGTAGTAGGGTTGGTTTTGTTTAATATGGCATCCTAGTGTCTTTTGTAGTCCTTCATTGTTTGCTTCGGTGCTTATATTCTGGAAATTCTTCTGGTAACTGTGTGATAGTTATATAATCTGTTGTCAGTTTTGGACTTGAGAGGATTAAGAATGAAGGGATGGAGTCTAGTCTGTCAATCGCATGATAGCCAATGAAGCCTCTGTGTGGGCATAGCCTTTTCCTGAGAATTCTGGGAAATCCAGTTTTTCTTCCTTGGAGGCGGGAGACACCACTCACTCCCTGGGAGACACTGCAGCTGACAAGACACATGGAATTATGATAGTGCCCCAAGCTGGAGAAGACACATGGACTTACCCTGATGTAACCAGACCTCTGAAGCCAGAGAAGCCACGTAGAGACCCCTGCCCGCGCTGAAATGCTTACAGTGCCACTGGATCCAAAGACTTTCTATCCACTGGCCTGTGATCGTCCTGCATTTGGCGTCATTACATGTATTTCATGAGTCTGAAGAGGACTTTATAGATTGGTATGAGACATAGGGGCTAATAAGGACTTGATCTGGACTGGGTTGGGATGCTTTCTTAATATAAAATTACCCTTTATATAAAACTCTCTTATACACATATGAGTGTCAATGAATTTGTTTCTCTAGTCTATCCATACTAACACACTGTATGAAGGACTCAACAGTGTGGTTAATTTGGTAGCAGATTGCACCATATTTTTTGCCTTCAACTGGAACTTCATCCAAGGAGCCACTTCCATACTCTTTGCTTCTTTTAATAATATCATACTCCTTGCTCTCCATATCCTTCACTTTAAGACACCTCCAGGAGGCATTGTGTATGATATAAACATAGTTTGCTTGCTGATGAAAACATATCCATTTGTTGTAGTGTTTCTTTTGGTTGTTTCCAAACTTGAGTTGCAATGATGTCTTTGTCCCAGCTGGAAAAGTTCTGATGTGAGTGTGGATGCTTACGTATCATGCTACATGGGGATACTAAGTGATGGCAAGTGGCTCTGAGTCTTTGCTTCGTCCTTGCGCTAAGAGTGACCAGGCTGGCAGCATGAGAGAGATTCAGGACTTTCTAGGGTTTGGTGTATATTCTGTTATCACTGAGCCAAAGAAATGTTATCTTAAGTACAATCATTATTCTTTACCGAAACTCCAAGGGTTGAATACCTGCTTTTTTTTTTTTTTCTCCGCCCCGCTGTCTGGTTCCTCCGAGGACCCCTAATACCTGCTTTTTAAGTAGTCATTTTTCTTGTCGTGGGTAACATTCTACTTCTTGTTACATACTCCCCCCCCCTTTTTCTTTCTTCTGATATTTTGCTTGTTTGCTGATAATATTGCTTTTTTTATTAGTATTTTTTTTCTTCCAATTACCCTAAATATATCTCCATGGGCTTTCCCTTTCCCACATATTTCCTCAGCCTCAACTATTCTTTCTGTTTCTTTTTTGAGCTGATACTTCTTGTCCTATATGTGGACATTTTGGTTAATCTCCTTTTGGCATCTATCAATCCAGGGAACTAGTCTAGTCTAATTCTAACTAGTCTAATTAAACTAGTCTAATTCTTAATTTCTTTTCCTAATTCTCAAAATTCTAGACTTGAACTTGATATACTTTGCCCATTAAATTGTTTATTCTGTTTACACCCCTCCATTTTTAAAATTAGTATTCATTCATTGTTTCATGCTTAAAAACTGTGGGACCTTGCCAGTTTTCCCCATTTGTCCTGTCTTTATTTATTTTTTTAAATATTTTTATTAGAGGCTCTTACATCTCTTATAACAATCCATACATTTCTCCAATGTGTCAAGCGCATTTGCACATATGCTGCCATCACCATTTTCAAAGCATTCTCTTCTCACTTGAGCCCCTGATATCAGCTCCCCATTTCTTCCCCCTCAATCCCCCACCCACCCTTGTCCCGTCTTTAAATTGTGGCTCTTGGTTGTTTCTTTATTATTGTTTTATTGTTCATTACCAATATTTTCCAATTCAGAATGTCTCCTTTAGATTCAGTTTATCTGCATCTCTTTTAAGCCATTCTACCGTCGTCTTTTAATTAGTATCTCAAATGATGTTCCTTTACCAGTTCTTAGAGATTATCTATGGAATCAAATTAGCTATTTTCCTATTATTTTATTCCATGTTTTCCTTAGCTTGCTCCCTCTCCGTTAGCTTTTTCCAACTTCCCCTCTAAATACTAGGACTTTATTTGAAAACCCTCAGAATTCCTTGAGGGATCTATTTTTATTCTTTCTACTTCATTCCAATAAGCGCAGTTTTCTTTTTCTCTAGTCAGAAAATACTGTTATTTTCTCTCTCTCTATTTTTTTCAGAGTGGAAGATAAAGCCTGAAAATAATGCATCAGTCCCAAAGTTAAACATTTCTGAAGAAAAACCATCTCTATCAGGAATAATGGAAAAACTCAAAATAGATAATCATGGGAGTTCCAATCTCTTAGAAACTTGTGAACTTGAAGGGAGTCTAGATTGGCAACAAGCAAATCGGCTAACACTTTCAAGGGAAAGAAAAATCACTGAAAAGATAGCACATACTCAGGAGAAAGGCCCGATACATAACGAATACATGAAAAGCATCAATATGAGTTCAAACCTTGTTACACACCAAGAAATGTCTTCACAAGAAACCCCTCTTAAATGTGATGAACACAAAACAAGTGTCAAACAGAATTTAGATCCAATTAAAAAAGAGAAATCTTGTAAATGTAATGCATGTGGGAAAACTTTTAGTTATTGTTCAGCTCTTATTCGCCACCAGAGATCCCACACTGGAGAAAAACCCTACAAATGTAATGAATGTGAGAAAGCCTTCAGCAGAAGTGAAAACCTTATAAATCATCAAAGAATTCATACTGGAGATAAACCATATAAATGTGATCAGTGTGGAAAAGGCTTCATTGAGGCACCATCTCTTACTCAACATCAAAGAATTCATACTGGAGAAAAGCCCTATAAATGTGACGAATGTGGAAAATCATTTAGTCAGAGGACCCATCTTGTTCAGCATCATAGAATTCATACTGGTGAGAAACCATATACATGTAGTGAGTGTGGAAAGGCTTTTAGTCAGAGGGGCCATTTTATGGAACACCAGAAAATCCATACAGGAGAAAAACCTTTTAAATGTGATGAATGTGATAAAACCTTCACCAGGAGCACACACCTTACTCAGCATCAAAAAATTCATACTGGAGAGAAAACCTATAAATGTAATGAATGTGGCAAGGCCTTCAATGGACCTTCTACTTTTATCCGACATCATATGATTCACACTGGTGAAAAGCCCTATGAATGCAATGAATGTGGGAAAGCCTTCAGCCAGCACTCAAACCTTACTCAACACCAGAAAACACATACTGGAGAGAAACCCTATGATTGTGCAGAATGTGGGAAATCCTTTAGTTACTGGTCATCCCTGGCTCAACATCTGAAAATTCATACTGGAGAAAAGCCTTACAAATGCAATGAATGTGGGAAGGCCTTCAGTTATTGCTCATCTCTTACTCAACATCGTAGAATTCACACCAGAGAAAAGCCTTTTGAGTGCAATGAATGTGGAAAGGCTTTCAGTTATCTCTCAAACCTTAATCAACACCAGAAGACTCATACCCAAGAGAAAGCCTATGAATGTAAGGAATGTGGAAAAGCCTTTATTCGGAGTTCATCTCTTGCTAAACATGAGAGAATTCACACTGGAGAGAAACCCTATCAGTGTCATGAATGTGGGAAAACCTTCAGTTACGGCTCATCCCTTATTCAGCATAGGAAAATACATACTGGAGAAAGACCTTACAAGTGTAATGAATGTGGAAGAGCGTTCAACCAGAACATACACCTTACACAACATAAGAGAATTCATACAGGAGCAAAGCCTTATGAGTGTGCTGAATGCGGTAAAACCTTTCGTCATTGTTCCTCTCTTGCTCAACATCAAAAAACTCATACAGAAGAAAAACCCTATCAGTGTAACAAATGTGATAAGGCCTTCAGCCAGAGTTCACATTTGACTCAGCATCAACAAATTCACACTGGAGAGAAGCCCTATAAGTGCAATGAATTTGACAAAGCCTTTAGTCTGAGTACTCATCTGACAGAACAGCACAATACTCACCTTGGAGAGAAACCTTGTAACTATAATGAATGCAGGAAAACTTTCAGCCAGCACATTTACCTCATTCAGCATCAGAGAATTCATTCAGGGGAGAAGCTTTCTGGATGTAATGATTGTGGAAAAGCATTTAGATATCGTTCCGCTCTCAGCAAACATCAGAATCTTCATCCTGGTATATGACTTTTCTAGCTACATCATTAATTTAGGGAGATAACTTTAATTTATCTTTTTGTTAAATGCTGAAGGATCAAAATGGATTGAGAAAAAATATTTTAAGCTTTTCCATTCACATGAATTGAAAGTACATTGGATTAAACTAATCCAATTATGTGACATTGGGAAACACAACCATTTTGAACTTCAGTTTCCTTATCTGTGAAATCTAAAATTTGGAGTATATGATGTCAAAGTTACTTTGGAGTTTTATATGTCTACAATATATTATTGAATAGTGTTGTTATACATCATAACAGGTAGAATATGTATATTACATCTCGAATGTGTGTTTATGCATGTTTTGCCAACAGAAGGCATTTGTGCATCAGTAACTATAATGGAGGTTTGTTACTGTGTTCTAGCATACTTGTTATGTAGGTAACCATTTTCTAATAAAAAGAATTCATAATACCTGCAAGTCAATAATGCAGTAGCATATGACAATTTAACTTAATAAGAATATTAAAGCTTCAAAAAAATTCTTCTGTATTTTAACCCCTAGAGATATTTGAGTTTTCTAGTGATCTCAGAACTCAAATTCCACCAGTATGTGTCTGTAAAGATCAATAATTTATTGTCTTATGGATTTAGAGGCTAAGAGTCCAAATTCAGAGGTCAGAATTCTCTCTTTAAGGGGATCTACAGTCACCACCTGCCTCTGGTGACAATAAGGGGCAGGAGCACATCCAGCCCAGATATTGACATTATAATCTTAGCACTCACACAAGCCCTTTCCTCACTGTGAATCCTGAAGGCTGAGTGAGGCTGGTGGGTACCAATAAGCACCATTGAGTGGAGGTGTCTTTCTCCAGTGCCACCCACGGGGGTCCCAGAAAAGCACCTGCATGGGTGCCCTGAAATGAAGGAGATTATTATTTTTAAAAATCATTTTATTGGGGGCTTGTACAACTCTTATCACAATCCATATTAGCCTAATACATATTAGGCTTGCCACAAAGATAAACTGAGGCCAGGCCAGAGAGAAGGAGGAGAAGAAGTTTATTCTGTGTTCCCAGGCAAGATTCACAGGCCTGAGAGTGGGGCCAGTGAAGTCCCGCCTATCTGTGTTGAAGAGCAAGTTTTTAAGCTGGTCAGGAGGGTGATCAAGAAGGGAGGGGCCATGTGAAAATCAGGAATGAAAAAAAAAAAAAAGGAGGGGCCTAAGCCATCTCCATCGGTGACATTTCAAGGTGGGGTGGTGTCTTGATGGTTCCGCCTGATACCGAGGAGATGGTTCATTGTCTGGGAGCCCTTTAAAGCTAACTGTCTCAGTCCAATAAGGGAAGGTCAGTTTGTTCCTAATGTCCTCATCCGGTGCCTAACCCAACATTCCGGCATTTTTGGCGATATCGGGGCGACGCTAGTCTGGCTTCTTCCTGCTGGATGGTGGCAGCAAGGGGTTAAAGGCTAGAATGCACTGGGTCAGGTTCGGTAGGCAGGGTGCCGTAGGGGTGCAAAAGAAGCCGGTTGACAGTTAAGTTAGTCATGTCCCTTATCCTGTTCTGAAGAAATTTGGGGGGGAAAGGACAAGTAACAAGAAACTAATAACCACAAATGGCCCAGGTTAAAAGGGGGTTTTGAGGCCAAGAGAGTACTGAGGCATTGTCTCCCTGGAAGTTTTTAAGATCTTCTGCCAATTTGGTGAGGGTCTCTATGTTTTGTTCTACCAGCCCTGATTCATTAACATAAAAGCAGCACTCTTCCCTTGGGAACAGGCAGGTGCCGCCCTTCTCTACAGTTAGGAGATCTAAGGCACTTCGGTTCTGGAGGGCTACCTGCACTAGGGAAGTGAAATGTCACTGTAGGGAGGCTAGAGAGACCGAGGTGGATTCCATAGCCAGCTGGAGCTTCTCCTCAGAGTGGTGTGCCTGGATTATGCTGTGGCCTAAAGCCCCACCCGAGAAACCTGGTGCCATGACTGAAGAGACTAAGCTAAGACCCACCATTACAAGCAAGAAGGCAGCCCTTTTTTGGCAGGAAACAGTGACTGGTCTCAGCAAGCATGCGGGTTCATCCTCTCCAAAGAGAGTGATCTGGGGAACTATGGTGGTAGGTAAGCATGGGCCGGGGGAAGAGGAATTAAGGTATGTGGTGAGAGTGCCATTACACCAAAAATAGGTGCCTGTGGGGGCATACACCATGGATGAAAATGGTGTTGGAAACACACAGACCATGTAACCAGGGAGCAAAACAAAGGGCCAGTACACGGGGGCAGGTAGGCTTGCCATCAATACCCATGACTGAGATTGAAGAAGAACTTCTTAGTCCTGAAAGGGAGGGTAGGACAGAGTAGGTAGCCCCTGTGTCTATTAAGAAGGAAATTTACTTACCTGCTACCTTGAGCATTACTCTAGGCTCAGTGAGGGTGATGGGGGTCTTCAAATCTAGGTCCCATCAGTCTTTGGCCAACTCCAGTAGGGCTAACGGTGGGTCAGGTGTTGGAAGGGTGGTCCCTCTGCCTGGAGACCCAGAGGGTCCATTGCTTTTCCAAGGACAGTCCAACTTCCAGTGTCTGCTCTGACCGCACGCCATCAGGGTTTGGTTGGAACTCTGGGCCTGGGGCACTTTCATGACCAGTGCCTCTCTTCTCACTTGAAGCAGGCACCAGGTGGCAGTCATTGTTCCCATGCACCCCTCCCCCATGCTGCCCACTTGGGGTCACAGGGCGCCGCCTGCCGCAAGGCTGCTACTAAGGCTTGTGTTTGAAAATTTACCTTCTGCTGGACCGGGCATCCCAGGTTGACTCTTCCTACTCATCAAGGCTATTAAAAATCTTGAATGCCATGTTCACTAATCTCAGAGTGGGGTTTGAGGGCCTTCCTCCACTTTTTTCAGCTTCTTCCTAATATCAGAGGCTGAATGGGTGATGAAGTGCGTGGCCGGGACCGTGACCCCTTTAGGAGAGGCTGGGTCCAAATGGGTGTACTGAGTTAAAGCCTCCTTTAGGCAGCTTAAAAAAGGCTGCTGGATTCTTGTTTGGCTTCTGGGTGATCTCCTTAAGTTTATCAACATTGCCTGGAGCTCAGGCAGGACACAATGAAGCATTTTATCTCAGCCTGCTTGCCCGTTTCTGCCTGCTTGGGTGTCGATCTGCTAGGTCCAGCCAGGCTCCTGCCTGGGGACAGCCTTGTTGCCGACAGGCATGCTTGAGTCAGGTGCACCTGGTTGGTATGTTGTTGGGCTGCCAAAAGGACCCATCCCTTTCATCTGCAGTGAGGGTAGAAGAAATAATCACAATACATCATGCCAGGACAAATCATAGGTTTGAGACAAATAGCAGAACTCCTTGATGTAAGTAGTGGGATCATTAGAAAGGAACCTAAGTGCTTTTCAATTTGAGATAAGTCAGTGAGAGAAAAGGGGACATGAACCAGGACCACCTCTTCAGCCCTGGCCACCTCTCAAGAGGGGACAAAGGAGAGGAGGGTTTTGTGACCACATGTACTTGCTAACTGGCAAGGCAAATAAAGATTCAGGTCCATCCGGCGAGGTGGGTGGATCAGGAGAAGGTGATGCTGGGGGCTCTGGGTGACTGTAATAGGGAGGAGGGTGAGTAGGAGGTGAGGAGAGTTGCTCAGGTGGGTCAGAAAAGGTGGGTGTGGGAGGGGGTGCAGAAGCAGGAGGACAGGATGAATTTACTCTAGCCAAGAAGACTTGGGAAGGGGAACAGGAAATACAGGGAGACAGACAGGAGCACAGAGAAAAGAAGGCCTGGATGTACAGGACCTCAGATCACTTCTCAGTCCTTTGGCAGAAGTTACTTAGATCGGTTAAAATATTGAAATCAAAAGTCCCTTGTTTGGGCCACTTAGAACCATTATCCAAATCATACTGGGGCCACTCGACCGTGCAAAAAAGGATGAGGTGCTTTGGACAAATGTCCGGCGCTAGCTCCAGTTTAGCGAGGTTGCCCAGGAGGCACCCTAACAGTGTCTGGGGGTCCATTTTAGAATTTTGATTCTTCATGGCAAATCTCCGGAGACCAATAGTCAAAGCTAAAGGACTAGCGTCCCAATCGTTTACTCTTGGCTACGGACAGAATAAGGAGGACCGGAGGGTTGACAGGGATGTCTTCACTGCCACCCTGGGTCAGACAGGAAAATGGAGGGCTATCTCTGACATGGCCACACGTTTACAGACGAGATGCCGGCACGGGGTCACCAGAAATAGACACCGGTTGGGACTTCCCGTCTGTGCTGCCGGACTGGAGCATGGCTGAGGATCCCTGGGACGAGCGGGACAAGAGGGCTCCCCGAAACTGCGTTGGGCTGTTAAGAGGAGGCTCACTCCCCCCTGGGTTTTGGTGCCAACTGTTAGGCTCTCCGCAAAGGTAAACTGAGGCCAGGCCAGACAAAATAAGTTGTTTATTCTACGCTCCCCAGCAGGGTTCACAGGCCTGAGAGTGGGGCCAGTGAATTCGCGCCTATCTGTGGTGAAGAGCAAATTTTTAAGCTGGTTGGTCAAGAGGGTAATCAAGGAGGAGGGAGCAGGAGCTGCAGTGGCAGGGGCTTAAGCCATCTCCATTTGTGAAATTCCAAGGTGGGGTGATGTCTTGATTGTTCTGCCTGATACTGAGGAGATGGTTCATTGTCCTGGAGCCCTCTGAAGCTAGCTGTCTCAGTCCAATAAAGGCAGGTCAAACTGTTCCTAATGTTCCCAGCTTGTGCCTAACCCAATAATACATACATCCATTGTGTGGAGCACATTTGTACATTTGTTGCCATCATCATTCTCAAAACATTTTCTTTCTACTTGAGCCCTTGGTATCAGCTTCCCATTTTACTCCCTCCCTCCCCCATCCTTCCTCATGAACCATATTTTATAAGTTATTATTTTTCATGTCTTACACTGTCCAATGTCTCCTTTCTTCTGTTGTCTGTCCCCCAGAGAGGGGTTTATATTATATGTAGATCATTGTGATTGGTTCTCCCCTTCTCCCCAAACTTTCCCTTACCCTCCTGGTATCTCTACTCGTTATTGGTCCTGAGGGGTTTATCTGTCCTGGATTCCCTGTTTCCAGCTCTGATCTGTACCCCTGTACATGCTCTGGTCTATCCAGATTTGTAAGGTAGAACTGGAGTCATGATAGTAGAGGGCAGGAAGCATTAAGAAACTAGAGGAAATTTGTATGTTTTATCGGTGTTATACTGTACCCTGGCTTGTCTCCTCCCCAAGACCCTTCTGTAAGGGGATGTCCAGTTGCCTACAGATGGGCTTTGGGTCTCCACTCTGCACTCCCCCTCATCCACATGATATGGTGTTTTGTTTTTGTTCTTTGATGCCTGATACCTGATCCTATTGACACTTCATGATCACAGGCATTGGTATACTTCTTCCATGTGGGCTTTGTTGATTCTCAGATTGATGGCTGCTTGTTTATCTTCAAGCCTTTAAGACCCCACTCGATAGAT